ACTGTGTCTGCCACTCCTCTCACTGTGTCTGCCACTCCCCTCACTGTGTCTTCCACTCCCCTCACTGTGTCTTAAACTCCCCTCATTGTGTCTGCCACTCCCCTCACTGTGTCTGCCACTCCCCTCACTGTGTCTTACACTCCTCCCCTCACTGTGTCTGCCACTTCCCTCACTGTGTCTGCCACTCCCCTCACTGTGTCTGTCACTCCCCTTACTGTGTCTGCCACTCCCTCACTGTGTCTTCCACTCCCTCACTATGTCTTCCACTCCCCTCACTGTGTCTGCCACTCCCCTCACTGTGTCTGCCACTCCCCTCACTGTGTCTTCCACTCCCCTCATTGTGTCTGCCACTCCCCTCACTGTGTCTGCCACTCCCCTCACTATGTCTGCCACTCCCCTCACTGTGTCTGCCACTCCCCTCACTATGTCTGCCACTCCCCCTCACTGTGTCTGCCACTCCCCTCACTGTGTCTGCCACTCCCCCTCACTGTGTCTGCCACTCCCCTCACTGTGTCTGCCACTCCCCTCACTATGTCTGCCACTCCCCTCACTGTGTCTGCCACTCCCCTCACTGTGTGTGCCACTCCCCTCACTGTGTCTGTCACTCTCCTCACTATGTCTGTCACTCCCCTCATTGTGTCTGCCACTCCCCTCACTATGTCTGCCACTCCCCTCACTGTGTCTGTCACTCCCCTCACTGTGTCTGCCACTCCCCTCACTGTGTCTGTCACTCCCCTCACTATGTCTGCCACTCCCCTCACTGTGTCTGCCACTCCCCTCACTGTGTCTGCCACTCCCCTCACTATGTCTCAATAAATCACAGTACCCTAACACCGTACACAGTAAATCACTGTACCCTAACACCGTACTCAGTATATCACAGTACCCTAACACCGTACACAATAAATCACAGTACCCTAACACCGTACACAGTATATCACAGTACCCTAACACCGTACACAGTATATCACAGTACCCTAACACCGTACACAGTATATCACAGTACCCTAACACCGTACACAGTATATCACAGTACCCTAATACAATAAACATACCTGACTCACAAGATATAATTAGGGGGGAAACAAGCATAAGAGAAAAATAAAAATTTGATTAAGATAGCGGAGAAGGAATGAAGGAAGGATAGACAGAAAGAAAGGAAGAAAAAAGAGACAGAAAAAAGAAAGAAAGAAAGAAGGAAGGAAGGAAGGAAGGAAGGAAGGAAGGAAGGAAGGAAGGAAGGAAGGAAGGAAGGAAGGAAGGAAGGAAGGAAGGAAGGAAGGAGAGGAAGTAGAGGTGATAATATTAGAAGGTAAGGGAAGAAACGGAAATGGAAACAGTTAAGCATTGAGAGAAGGGGAGGTATTGTGTGAGGGGAAGGAGCGGGTAGGTAGGAGGGCAAGTGAGACGGAAGGAGGGAGGTAAGTAAGGATGGGGATAGGTATGGAGGGAGGGAGGAAGGTGGATAGAGGGGGGGAAGAGGGTGTGTGGGAGGCAGCAATATTGATCGCTGTTATCACCAGCTCTCACATATTGATCTCCCATCTCTATCCCCCATCATTCCCTTATCTCCCGTTACTCCCTTATCTCCCATTAGAACTACCCATCACACTCACTTATTACCCATCATTGCGTTATTATCTTGCGTTACATTGCGATGATTTCAGGGCTCAACGTCCCCGCGGCCCGGTCCTCGACCAAGCCTCCTCGTTGCTGGAATAGTCAACCAGGCTGTTGGACGCGGCTGCTCGCTGCCTGACGTATGAGTCACAGCCTGGTTGATCAGGTATCCTTTGGAGGTGCTTATGCAGTTCTCTCTTGAACACTGTGAGGGGTCGGCCAGTTATGCCCCTTATGTGTAGTGGAAGCGTGTTGAACAGTCTCGGGCCTCTGATGTTGATAGTTCTCTCTTGAACACTGTGAGGGGTCGGCCAGTTATGTCCCGTATGTGTAGTGGAAGCGTGTTGAACAGTCTCGGGCCTCTGATGTTGATAGAGTTCTCTCTCAGAGTACCTGTTACACCTCTGCTTTTCAACGGGGGTATTCTGCACATCCTGCCATGTCTTCTGGTCTCATGTGATGTTATTTCTGTGTGCAGGTTTGGGACCAGGCCCTCTACTATTTTCCATGTGTAAATTGTTATGTATCTCTCCCGCCTGCGCTCAAGAGAATACAGATTTAGGCTCTTTAGTCGGTCCCAATAGTTTAGATGTTTTACTGAGTGGATTCTAGCAGTAAAGGATCTCTGCACGCTCTCCAGGTCAGCAATTTCTCCAGCTTTGAAAGGGGCTGTCATTGTGCAGCAGTACTCCACTCTAGAGAGCACAAGCGTTTTGAACAGTATCACACACATGCTTATTACTTATCACCCATCACACAATTATCACCCATCACACAATTATCACCCATCACACAATTATCATCCATCACAATTATCAACAATCATACAATTATCAACCATTATACACTTATCAACCATCCTGAATGATGTTGTGACTTATGCTAGTGTAGAGTATGCTGCTAATGTTATCCTGTTTATATGAGTCTCCGGAGTTAGGTTAGTTGTTATATCCACTCTCAGGACCTTTTCTCTGGTCGTTACAGGTAGGTAGTTCGCCCTTCATCGTGTACTATCCTTTTGGTCTCTTGACTCCTGTTGACATTTACATCACCTAACACATGCTGGTGTTGACCTCCAGTAGCCATTTCTTGGACGAACTCAACAGCTTGTTGAAGCCGTTGTTGAGAATCCTACAGTCCTCATGTCATAATTTCCTCATAAATTTTGCATTATTTGCAAACATCATCATATAAAGACTCAACGCCTGTAGATAGTCGTTTACATCAATAAGAAATAGTATGTCTCCCAGCACCAATCCTTGAGGTCCTCCACTTGTTACCCTACGCCATTCCCACTTTCCCCCCTTACTCTTACTCTGACTCCTGCCTTATTGGTAATTCTTTACCCATGTTAGTGCTTTATTGATTACTCCAGCCTGCCTCTCTAGTTTATGTAGTAATGTATTGAGAGGTACTGATCAAAGGCTTTTTGGCTGTCCAGAAATATGCGCTCTGCCCAGTCTTCTCTGTCCTGCCTTATTTTGTTACTTTATTATAGATCTCCAGTTGGTTCGTGACGTGTGATTTGCCTTCATGAAAGTTATGTTGATGTTTGTTTACATATCTAATTTTGTCCAGGTGTGTAACTAGTCTTATCCTTATTATTCTTTCGAGGACTTTGTAGTGACTGCTCGTCAGTGATACTGGTCTAGTTAAGTTCAGAAGCTGAGCAATTCTCCCTTTGTATGTGGCTCATTAAAGAACTATGCCAGAGGCACGCTGAGGGCCTGTGCTGCTTCTTTTAACATCCATGGTGATACGTTATCTGGTCGAGCATCGTTAGCTTCATCTAGTGATGCTAGTTGTTTCCTTACTTCCTCTGTTCTTATCTCCATGTTTAAGTGTGTGTGTGTGTGTGTGTGTGTGTGTGTGTGTGTGTGTGTGTGTGTGTGTGTGTGTGTGTGTGTGTGTGTGTGTGTGTGTGTGTGTGTGTGTGTGTGTGTGTGTGTACTCACCTATATGTGCTTGCAGGATCGAGCATTGACTCTTGGATCCCGCCTTTCTAGCTATCGGTTGTTTACAGCAATGACTCCTGTCCCATTTCCCTATCATACCTAGTTTTAAAAGTATGAATAGTATTTGCTTCCACAACCTGTTCCCCAAGTGCATTCCATTTTTCTACTACTCTCATGTGTGTGTGTGTGTGTGTGTGTGTGTGTGTGTGTGTGTGTGTGTGTGTGTGTGTGTGTGTGTGTGTGTGTGTGTGTGTGTGTGTGTGTACTTGCCTAATTGTACTTACCTAATTGTGTTTGTGGGGGTTCAGCTCTCGCTCTTTGGTCCTGTTTCTCAACTGTCAATCAACTGATGTACAGGTTCCTGAGCCTACTGGGCTCTATCATCTCTACACTTGAAGCTGTGTATGGAGTCAGCCTCCACCACATCACTTCCTAATGCATTCCATTTGTCTACTATTCTGACAATGAAATTTTTTTTTCTAACGTCTCTATGGCTCATTTGTGCACTCAATTTCTACCTGTGTCCCCTAGTGCGTGTGCCCCTTGTGTTAAATAGTCTGTCTTTATCTACCCTATCAATTCCTCTGAGAATCTTGTATGTGGTGATCATGTCCCCTGTAATTCTTCTGTCTCCCAGTGACGTGAGGTTTAATTCCCGTAGTCTCTCCTCGTAGCTCATACCCCTGTGTGTGTGTGTGTGTGTGTGTGTGTGTGTGTGTGTGTGTGTGTGTGTGTGTGTGTGTGTGTGTGTGTGTACATGCTCTCCACATCCACTCTCAGTCCGTGATATATTTATGCTCTTGTTTTCCAAGAGTATTAAGGCAAATGTTGTAGCTTGCTTCAGTAAATCGTGTCATGCTGCTCTCTTCCTCTGGTCAAGCTGCGTTTCTTGCCGTCTATATTTTATTTCCCGGTTTAAACCTTTTCAAGTATCATTCTATGGGCATATATACCTTGCCAGATCTGTTACACGCACACACACCAAAGAGCCAGAGCTCAACCCCCACAAGTACAATTAGGTGAGTACACACACACACACACACATAGAATATAGAATACCCCCGCCATGAGAGACTATGGAATACCCCCGCTATGAGAGACTATGGAATACCCCCGCCATGAGAGACTATGGAATACCCCCGCCATGAGAGACTATGGAATACCCCCGCCATGAGAGACTATGGAATACCCCCGCCATGAGAGACTATGGAATACCCCCGCCATGAGAGACTATGGAATACCCCCGCCATGAGAGACTCAAACATTGGGACAACACCAGAGGAATTAAGAACACATCAAGCATCATTACACAAAACTAAAACTATTGAACCAAGCAACATATCACCATGAATATTAAACGATGTGGCATAAGCCCTCAGCGTACCTCTGGCACTGATCTGTAATTAGCGACTTAGAGAGGGAGCATTACCTGTTTGAAGAAGGCAAATCTATTACCAATTTACAAGTAACGAGATAGAGATGAAGCACTTAACAACAGACCAGTGTCACTGACAAACAACACTGCAAACACTTGAAAGAATAATAGGGATGAGACTAGTTACACACCTGGAGAGAATTAGGTATGTAAACAAACATCAACATAGCTTTAAGGTAGGAAAACCATACCTGACAAACATACTGGAGTTCTATGATAAAATGACACAAATAAGACAAGACAGAGAAGGTTGGGCAGATTGCGTATTTCCTGACTGCCAAAACGGTTTTGATGCAGTTCCTCACAAGAGATTATTGAGCAAATTCTAGAGGCAGCGGGAAGGGAAGGGGAAAGCGCCAAGCCACTACAACTATATTGAGCTGGGATGTTGTCAGGATAAGGATTTGGCATGGGACGGGGGGGGGGGGGGGACTGGTGCCCAACCACTTGGACGGTCGGGGATTGAACGCCGACCTGCACGAAGCGAGACCGTCGCTCTACCGTCCAGTCCAAATGGTTGGACAAGCAGCGAAAAGCAACACGTAGGTACTAGAATGCTGGCATTTATACACATCATTGACGTGTATAACTTGTAAGGATACATTTTGTAACAGTGCCAACCTGAATTCTGAGTACAGGTCAGCTGGCACAGTGCCACCAGAGTACAGGTCAGCTGGCACAGTGCCACCAGAGTACAGGTCAGCTGGCACAGTGCCACCAGAGTACAGGTCAGCTGGCACAGTGCCACCAGAGTACAGGTCAGCTGGCACAGTGCCACCAGAGTACAGGTCAGCTGGCACAGTGCCACCAGAGTACAGGTCAGCTGGCACAGTGCCACCAGAGTACAGGTCAGCTGGCACAGTGCCACCAGAGTACAGGTCAGCTGGCACAGTGCCACCAGAGTACAGGTCAGCTGGCACAGTGCCACCAGAGTACAGGTCAGCTGGCACAGTGCCACCAGAGTACAGGTCAGCTGGCACAGTGCCACCAGAGTACAGGTCAGCTGGCACAGTGCCACCAGAGTACAGGTCAGCTGGCACAGTGCCACCAGAGTACAGGTCAGCTGGCACAGTGCCACCAGAGTACAGGTCAG